TTTATGTAAGGAATAATGGTTAGGGTTAGTAGTTTAAAAAATAATTATTTTGTTAGAGTGCAAAAGGTGTTTTTTTTTAACATTCTAATTTCATTCTAGTTCATATAGTAATGACATATCATATTGGCAATAAATTTATACATTGATATTTAAAAAAAAAAATAAATAATTTATCTGAAGTCGATTACGACGATCTGAGTGATACCATCCCATTGCAGAGAATAACCGTTCTACTGATGCCGTGGTTATACAAATTGAAAAAATGCGAACTGCCACAAGATGCAATTCTACAGCAATTCCTTTACAAAAACTCCAATAGTTTAGCACATTACCACCATATTGGTCAAAAGTTTCTTTATCAAATGGGTATTCTTCACTTTCATAATGTTGCAATTCACGCAAAATAGAACGTGGAGGTTTACCAAACCAAGATTTATAATAGTGTACAATCCATTCTCCCATATGCGTAAAAGAAAGACCATCAACATTTTGGTTAAATTGTGTATTACGATAACTCGGATGTAATAAAAAAGACAAAAGTAACAATAGTTGCTCCCAGGCTAACCATCATTTTTCTAATTTCATTAGCAAATAATTTTTAAGATCCTGATCAATAATACTTTTAATAACTTGGCACACCTATCCAAAACTATGCAAAACTTCAGTAAAGCAGCCTTTATCTCGCTGAAGTTTATTTAATGATGCCATATACAGTTCGAGAAGAATCTTTAATTGTATAAGGTTTTTCCACCACTCATTGTCTGAAATATTAAAAAGGATACTTCTAGGAAAACCTTTAAGGTTATCATCATTTTCTTCTTCTATTCTTGTAGCTAAGTTTTTGAGTATAGCACGGGACCTAATAATGCTAGCGAAGCACAGGTAGTGACTATTCCATCGAGTAGAATTTGGGGTTACAAAAGAAATATATGACTTATATAAAGATGCTTGCTCTGAACGAAGGTGCCCCAAAAAAAATGTTGACCGATGAAAAAAGGATACAAGACAAATGGCTTGTTCAGCAACAGCTGATAATGTGTTTGAAATTTTAAATATATCACCGACACACAAGTTCATTTGATGTGCAAAACATGGGATAAATATGATTTCTGAATGCACACGCCGTAAACGTTTTCTAAATTTAAAAAAAATTTATTAATAATGATGCTGTATCACTTCACTGATATAGATACAACATTTTACTAATGATCAATTTACTGACATTGACAAGTTCATTTCATCGACATTTTATTTCACACAGCTCATTTCGCTGACAAGTTTTTTTTTTTTTTTATAAATTACACTAACCTTAACTCTAAATCTAACCTGAACCTAATGACAATGACTAGAATTACCTTGTCAGAAAAATGAGCTATAGGTAAAATAAACTATCAGTGAAATAAACTTATCAGTAAAATAAG